TTCAAAGGATTAAAGGATTGTCCTTCTTCTGTCAGGATCACCTGCAGGATGTGGCTCTTTTGTTGCCAGACAGTGCTGATGGATATGCCATGATCATACGTTTCCTAACTGCATGCTATTAGCTTTATTCATCCATTAGAGAACTGAACACATCCCTGAGTGCACACGTTGTAAGGCAGCCCTGTTATCCAATGGAGTAAACAAAGATCCACCAACATGTTCTGATGTCTCTTAAATGGTTTTCAAATGAACAGCAAGATAGTGCATTCTTTTTATTTACTGACTACAAAGGTGTTGGTTAAGTTGTACAAATGTTATCCAACACAATATTTCATTATAAAGCTTTATTTGTATAGCACTTTTCATACACCCGGTGCAGCTTGAAGTGCTTTCACAACATATAACAGAAACAGGTCAGACGTTCAAACCTTTATGCACACGTGCAGCATCACAACACCCACTCACATTTGAAGGACACAAGGAGGTCAGAGGTATGATAATAACAAGTACAATAAGATAAATAATGATCCAAATGTTCATGACATCCTCTCGGTAGAGTAAATCAAGAGATAAGTTCAAATGAATAAACACAATCAAATAGTAAGACCTATAAAATAAATAAATAATTTTAACAATAGGAAAAAGAATGATAACAATAATAAAGATTAAAAGACCAATTAAAAGCGGATGTCGCTAATAAAAATCTAATCTAAAAAAGATGTCTTTATCTGTCGTATGAAAATGTACTTCAGGAAACTTTTACATAGAACATAAGCAGGCAAACACATTAGACACATTTATTAGAAAGAGAGACACATCCAAATAGTTTTCCTTCAATTCAATTAAGGATTATAGATAGATAGATAGATAGATAGATAGATAGATAGATAGATAGATAGATAGATAGATAGATAGATAGATAGATAGATAGATAGATAGATAGATAGATAGATAGATAGATAGATAGATAGGTAGTACTTTATTGATCCCAAATTGGGAAATTGTTGTTGTTACAGCAGCATAAAAGGCATTTTACAATAAAACAAAATATACAAGAATAGAAAGAAATATAAAATATACATGTTGAAATAGAAAATATACATGCAGATATTATATATACAAATATATATATATATTCAAAAGATATGACATTATGTAATATGGAGTATAAATATTGAACAGATTATATGAGTAAAATGTACAACGTGGTGCTAATACAAACATCCAGTAATGCAACTGAAGGGTGGCGTTCACTATCGTTTCTATACAGGGAAGCAGAAGGAGCAGAACCATTTTCAAATGCTGCCACTGCGCCCACAGCCATCTTAGTTTGATTTACTCTGATTGAATCTCAAGGACTGTGTGAAAGATGACTTAGAGGGTGGTTCAGGTGCATTGGGTCCTGATAGCGCTGTGTGAAACATGTTATGACAGCAATCATATTCCTACCATCTCTAAGCGGTATGAATGGGGAAAAAAGGTGTGAAATGTAAATACTCTTGTTTTCTTAGCGACTGTGTGGATTAGTACAGGACCAAAACAACTCTTCATGATTCATTTTGAAAACAGAAGATAAGAAACCAGATTAAATCAACACAGCAGTTTAGCTCATTCAATCTGCAGTAGCTGTGACCAGAAGACACATATTTACTGAAGTGACAATTGAACCATCACGTTGAAATGGAATCTTTTCAGAATCAGGGTTATTGCCATTAAACAGACGAGGAATTTGCCTTGGTGTAAAACTGAAACCTGGACTTTAATGAAATGTATTATGTCTACAGATTTCACATAACTGTATTAAGTAAGTTGAAAGCAATAATTATTTAGTTTAAATGGGTTAAATGTAATATTATTGCTTTCAAAAGCCCACATTTCAGCCTTGCCTTTCCTTGCCTATTATAAAAAACTATTTCATAAAAACTATTATAACATTAAAATATAGAGAAATATTAACATGAAATATAGATACCAAAAAACTTTGTACAGTATAATATGACAACAAATATGTGCAATATTGTTATGAAAAGTGGAAAGCTGTGCAGATATTTAAAGAGGTAGCTTTGTTTACAAATGAGTCTTCTTTTGCAGCTGGTTGCCCTGGGAGAAATGTAGTGTGGACAGAGATCAAGTATGCTGGCCAGAATTATAGAGGGACAAGCAAACAAGCTGAATAAAAGATGAGGCTGTGTGTCTCATTAGGAGAGAACAGTGTATGCACATGCATGGTGAACAGGCCAGCACACTACAGCTGACTGCACCCCCCCCCCCCCACCCCCTCTCTGTCACCAGCAGTACACACAGCAAGCTAATTGCATGATAAAACAATTGATGATTAATTATTACAGCGTTTCTTCCTCTGAGCTCTCCACATGGCAGCTTGAGATAATTAAATCTAATCAAAGCGTGCATCAGGAAGCTGCTCACTTTGCAGCAATTCAGCCAATTTTCTGGAGGCCATGGAATCTTCACACGGCACGACTACATTCCATTAATTAATCTGCAGTAAACATTGTTCAGTCATTAAACGAGTAATTCAAAATGCTTAATGTCATGCCGTGATTGACTAACTTTCTTAATGTAGCTGCGGTCAGGGAGAACTCGCTGCCAGCTTGGCAGGAAACTCTCCTTGTGAGTGTGTTTTTAAAAGCAGCCATTCGTGGATCAGGGTTGGTGAGGATTTTTGAAACAACAGATTACAATATCGCGTGTTGTTCGTAAATTGCAGATCAGGAAACATTTGTACTTTTTTTATCTGTCCAAAAATGTGCTTAAAGTTTCTTCAACTTAGCACAAGACATGGCTGATAGCTTCGTCCTTATCAGTGCTGGACCTGATGGCTGCAGGCAACACCAAGACTTGAAACCAAACAATACAATATACTTCATCCATAATACTTGTAACTCTTGCATTATTTTCTCAAATTGTATCGAAAAGACATAAAAAATAAGGTTGAATATATTGCAAAATGTTACAAGCTACATTTAAAAGTGTATCTTTCCACAAATAGGTACATCTAAAATTAGGAAGACTTATTACTGTACATTGAAAATACTTTTAAGCATGAACTATGCTGAACGGTGCATGGGATATTGAAGGGCAATAGAGCAACCTCTCCAATGCCATGAGAGACAGAAAAGGAAAACTCAGCTTGGTTGAGACCAAATATAACCGTTAAGCCTGGTGATGAGTCACTGACAATAGAAACAGCTCTGTAGACCACACTGTCACACAGCCTTGGGGAGAAACACATTACAAGTAACAGGATTACATAATCAGGATACGATAAAAAAACATAACTGTATTCCCTTACAGGTACATGAAAAAATACGTAATCAGATTACTGTTACATTTCTAAACATTGGGATCACTAGCAGGATAACAGTGTTATTAAAACTAAAAAGATCATACAGTGTTTGTTGTAAAGGATCAGATGTTATCTCTTCTCTTAGGTGACGTTTACACGAGGACAAAACTGCTTGTATCTGCATAGTTTCTCTTGCGTATAGCCCTATTATTTACACGAGGCCGTAACAAACGGACCCCACAAACGATAACGGGTCCCAAGGTGGATAGATTTGCAAATGAAACTCTCTGGGGGGTCAAACGAGTCCGTGTAATCGCCTCTATACGAATATTTCCTGAAAAAATAACGATAGCCCCACCTCTCCCCGCCTCTGCTGCTCACTGCTGTAGCATGGCCAGTAGCTACTGTCAGTAGCTACTGCTAGTACTACTGAAAGTAGCTACTGTCAGTAGCTACTGTCAGTAGCTACTGCTAGTGCTACTGCTACTGACCATGCTACAGATGTTAGTGCAAAATCTACAGCTCCTCTACCACAACCATCAGCAACAAGTGGACATGGAGAATTACATGAACTACATGTTGCTAAATCCACCGCGGGGCATAAACAGAAGGGTAGCCATGGCAACATTGCTCCGGGGCTGCTCCGGGTCTTCTTCGCTACTTTTGGTGTATTTTGTGGCGGAAGTTACAGCGCCACTTACAGTCCCGGCATATGTACTACAGCGTGTCCAGCGGTCTCGTTTGAACAGACACGTTAAATGAAACGAATGCATGTGAACGGAAGACTTTTTTGAAAGCGCATACTGTGCATAAACGCAAACGTTCCCGTGTGCATATGGCCTTAGAGCTGTACTGTTCTGTAGGATAATACTTTACGTGTGAATCTATATGCCTACTGCCTGAATCTGCTTTGTGGTTTTCACTTTCTTTGCTTCATTTGTTCAGTTTTTAATTCAGCAGGTGAACCTATATGTTCATACATTTTGTGTGAGACCTTAACTGTGTGTATTAAACTGAAACGGAGCATTTTCTGTAAGCGCAGATTTTATTTCTTATTTTAATTTTTTAAACTGTAGTATGTGTTTCAGTGGCGATGTATAGGCTGCTGCCTGAATATGCTGAATGAAAGGCAGGTCTTCATATCAAGAATATCATTTCTGATCCTAAATATCCTGGTTTCTGTTTTTCTAAGGTCACAATGTTCTGTTGTCTTAATACACATATGGGTTTGCTGTAGCTCAGTCTGTAGGGACTTGGCTTGCCGACCGAAGCCCTGCTTCCAGTCTCGATAGGACCAAACATATTGTTTTTTTACCATTTCTCCTGGTGGTGGAAGCCCTTTCGCTCTACCACCTCTTCATCACTAAAGGTCGTGTTTGAGAATGTGTGTGTATTTTGGGGCGTATGTGTGTAATTGTATTGTAAAGTGATCAGGTTTATATTTTTATACTCAGATTAGATTACTGATTACTTTTTTTTACACGTCACTTGTAATTGTAATGGAATTACTTTTTTTAAGTAATCCTCCCAACCCTGCTCCCTTTCAGTAGGAATCTGTCATTATGTCTTTGAAGATAAAGCTTAAAGCAGGAATTAGAGGTTCTGTTCTGAAGAACCAGACCTCCTGCTCGCCTGTACACCAGACAGTCACCTACCCTTGCTGAGTCTTCTGCATTTCAATGTGATGTTGCAGGTGCCTTTGGTGTCCTCCCACTGTGACTTCAGCACACCCACCCCCCCCTCCCCCTACGCTCACTGGGAGGTCTGCAGCAACCTTTGAAGGCCTCAGGTCAGCGGCGGTGGAGAGATGAAGACGTGCTGCCTGATCCTGGCAGCTCTGCTGCTGCCCAGCAGCCACGCAGGTGAGTCAGGACATCTTCTGAGTCTCATCTATGCTTTCCAGAGGGGGGAGGAGTACTCAGATCTTGTACTTAAAGTGGACCTATCATGCTATATTTGAATAATATAGTGTAGGACCATACCTATATAAGGCATATTTATACTTTTTTTTTTTCAAAATACCAAACAGATCATGCATTTTAGCCATGCCTCATTTTGCTCAATTTGGAAAATGTTAGCCCTGTTTTTGCAAGGGCAGATTCAGTGAGAACAGCACCACCTACAGGCCTGGCATATGTACTACAGCGTCTCCAGCGCTTTCGAACGGCAATGGCCGTGGCTGTCTCCTCCTGATTGGTGGAGTTGGCCCAATAGCCGTAGCGCCACCGTCCTGACGTCAGGACAGTGTTCAAATCTGGATCAGTTTTTATCAGATCCGTTGCAGCCCCTTTTTTAGAGATTTGGGTATGGAGGAAAATAGAGAGGGTTGTGTTTTCTGAATTCTGAATTAAAAATGTTACTCAAGTAAAATTAGAAAAGTATTCTCATCAAAATATAGTGAAAGTACCAAAAGTAAAAGTAGTGATTGTGCAGATTGGTCCATTTCAGAATAATATATATGATATGTTTTATAATGATTGATCATGAAAGTGTTCTCAAAGCTGGTAAAGGTGCAGCTATTTTGAATGACTTTGTATACTGCAGGGTAGCTTGTGAATTTACTCCAGGTGGAACTAAAGTCTGATTTAACACTTGATTATATTTCACATCATTCATCCAGATCTGTAAAGTAACTAAAGGTATTAAATACATGTAGTGCAGTAAAAGTACACCATTAATCTCTGTATTATTCTGGGGTAGAAGTACAGAGTAGCAGAAAATGGATATAAAGTGCAAGTACCTCAAATGTCCTTGAGTACAGTACTTAAGTACTTCTAACCTGTTACTTTACACCACAGTGAGACGTACAGTGTGACACAGTCAATGTTGACCGTTTAGATAAGCTCTCTCTGTGTTCTGCACGTCTCTCTGCCTGCGCGCAGCTCTCTTTATCATAGGCTCCAGCTTGTTACATTGTTATGGACTCCTGTACATTGCTTCAGTGCATTGAAGTATATCATATCCCAGGGGTAACGGCTGTAGCATCTGCTCTATACGTAAACATGAGCAGCTGTCGAGAACTATGATGGATTATTCCCTGAGACCCTGAATGCAGCACAACATGATGTAGATACAGAGGAGCCCGTCATGTGAGCAGGCTGTTGTTGCCTTCACTGAACAGCAGTACAGGTCATGTGGGGACTCTGGAGTGCATAAACAAGTCTTTTGGGTCAAGCCTTTATGTCATAAACATATGCATAGGAGACACACACATAGTGAGTGTTATTCAAATTGAATGTCTTCACACACGTCTTGTACAAATAAGGCTGCATGAGCCATAGGAGCACATGTTAAAGGTCACCTGTTATGCAAAAGCCATTTTTTCATGTCTCTTCTACATCAACATGTGTCCCCTCTTCCTCATGTCTCTTCTACATCAACATGTGTCCCCTCTTCTTCATGTCTCTTCTACATCAACATGTGTCCCCTCTTCTTCATGTCTCTTCTACATCAACACGTGTCCCCTCTTCTTCATGTCTCTTCTACATCAACATGTGTCCCCTCTTCTTCATGTCTCTTCTACATCAACATGTGTCCCCTCTTCTTCATGTCTCTTCTACATCAACATGTGTCCCCTCTTCTTCATGTCTCTTCTACATCAACATGTGTCCCCTCTTCTTCATGTCTCTTCTACATCAACATGTGTCCCCTCTTCTTCATGTCTCTTCTACATCAACATGTGTCCCCTCTTCTTCATGTCTCTTCTACATCAACATGTGTCCCCTCTTCTTCATGTCTCTTCTTCATCAACATGTGTCCCCTCTTCTTCATGTCTCTTCTTCATCAACATGTGTCCCCTCTTCTTCATGTCTCTTCTACATCAACATGTGTCCCCTCTTCTTCATGTCTCTTCTTCATCAACATGTGTCCCCTCTTCTTCATGTCTCTTCTACATCAACATGTGTCCCCTCTTCTTCATGTCTCTTCTACATCAACATGTGTCCCCTCTTCTTCATGTCTCTTCTACATCAACATGTGTCCCCTCTTCTTCATGTCTCTTCTACATCAACATGTGTTCCCTCTTCTTCATGTCTCTTCTACATCAACATGTGTCCCCTCTTCTTCATGTCTCTTCTTCATCAACATGTGTCCCCTCTTCTTCATGTCTCTTCTACATCAACATGTGTCCCCTCTTCTTCATGTCTCTTCTTCATCAACATGTGTCCCCTCTTCTTCATGTCTCTTCTACATCAACATGTGTCCCCTCTTCTTCATGTCTCTTCTTCATCAACATGTGTCCCCTCTTCTTCATGTCTCTTCTACATCAACATGTGTCCCCTCTTCTTCATGTCTCTTCTACATCAACATGTGTCCCCTCTTCTTCATGTCTCTTCTACATCAACATGTGTCCCCTCTTCTTCATGTCTCTTCTACATCAACATGTGTTCCCTCTTCTTCATGTCTCTTCTACATCAACATGTGTCCCCTCTTCTTCATGTCTCTTCTTCATCAACATGTGTCCCCTCTTCTTCATGTCTCTTCTACATCAACATGTGTCCCCTCTTCTCCATGTCTCTTCTACATCACCATGTGTCCCCTCTTCTTCATGTCTCTTCTACATCAACATGTGTCCCCTCTTCTTCATGTCTCTTCTACATCAACATGTGTCCCCTCTTCTTCATGTCTCTTCTTCATCAACATGTGTCCCCTCTTCTTCATGTCTCTTCTTCATCAGCATGTGTCTCCTCTGTGGAAAGAGACTCTGAAAGTTTCAGGAACAAAGATTCTCTCTCTTTTTGATCCATTTATATAAAAACCTGTCTGAAAATGAGCTGATCAGATTTTGGCCACTTGATGATGTCATAACGATGTTTTGTCTTGTGTAACCATTAGCCAATCAGCAACCAATGTAACCCCCCCCCCACCTTATCACCTGAATCTCCTCCTAGAGCACCATTGAGTTCTTTTTAACCAAATGTCTCTCAGAGGGGCGTGGGGAGGGGCTCCTTATTTTCATCTACAGTAACAGAAAAAGGTTGACCAATCACAACAGAGCTAACCAATCAGAGCAGACTGGGCGAAAAGAGGTGCTGCAGCACAGGCAGTATGAGAGAAATAAAGAGCTTTTTGAACATTAAAGCATGGAGACATGTCCCAGGAGAGACACTACATACTGATATGATCCTGAAAAAGAGCAGAATAAGGCCCCTTTAAGGAAAAATATATCTTTATATTAGGAGATAGACACATTATAAAAGAATGTAGAATCAAGCCTATACTTACATGACGAGAAAGATGGAAATTATTCTTATTATTTGTTATTTTGGTGTGTCATTTGGATAATTAGATTCTTTAGATAACTTATTAAATGGCTATAGTTTGGCTGTTTTTTATTCAAAAAGTGAAAGTGTTCGGGATGCAGTATTCACCTGCTGTGTCACAAAAATACCACAAACACCTCCAGATATCCAGCTGAACAGGTGTTAGAGGATAATCCCTGCATCCAATCCATTTCTCAGGAAGAGAGAGGGTGTTTGTGTGTGTGTGTGTGTGTGTGTGTGTGTGTGTGTGTGTGTGTGTGTGTGTGTGTGTGTGTGTGTGTGTGTGTGTGTGTGTGTGTGTGTGTGTGTGTGTGTGTGTGTGGTCCTTGAGGCATTAGAAACATTTTTCCACTATAAACTTAACACAAATATCTTAATTCTCTGTCACTGTTTTTGTTTTGGTTGTTGTTGTTGTTGTTGCAGTTTCACTCTGACTGCACGGAGGCTTATGGAGCTCTAAGAAAATATTTGTTAATTACCATCAAAAAAGCCTCTCCATCTGAGAAGGCTTTTTATTGGAGGGTTAGGGGCTTCATCTTAATGAGGAACTCAGGCAGGGTTGCAGTTACTTGAGTGGAAGTGGAAGTAATAATAAGAGCTCTATCTTGTCTTATGAGACATTTTGGTATAAATTAATGAGTATTGTGCTGCTCTCTGGACAACTGGTATAAAACAACAGTGACTTTTACCTCTTCAAATTAATTAGATTACATGCTTCCTTTTTGGTTTTGGAAATTGTCTCACCTTTTCTGCTCATAACATCTTCAAAACACATTTCACAGCTTGTTTTGGTTCTTCCATTTTAAAGCTTGTTACTTTTTGGCATAGAGAGCCGAAGTCCCTCCCTTTCCGGTGATCCACCATGGGACCTTATTTTGGAAAAATGATGTATTGAAGTCAAGAGAGAGAAACATTTTCTTTTGATCCCGTTTGAATTGAGCCATGAATTACACATATGATGCTTGTCAATCTTAAAAAATCATTTCCAAGTAAAAAAAGTCACAGTTTGTCGTAAAACTGTGAAGTAACACTTATTTTTGTGTAAAACTGCTCAATGAACTACATCTCTGGTCTCGCACAGCACACGTCACCATCACCAGAATGAGGTGAAAAGTATTAAACGAGGTGGAAATCATTACACGTCTGGGCATGTTGAGAGCTGCTATTACACAAAAGGGGAGTTAGTCCAACCCAGTCTCACGGCATTTCGTGTTATAGTCACGACATTTAATCTATTGATTCGTGTTCACCAACACGATTTCCTCCTTTTGTTCGTGTCACACAGAACGATTTTAAAAGCAATGTATTTCTATTGGTAGTATGTTTCGTGCCTGCAACACGTCTTTTTGTCCGGTCGGGTCTTGGAAGACCAGAAGCTGTGTGGTTCATAAAAACATGTTCTTACTCAATATCAAGCCACGATTATTGTTTTTATTTTAAATCGTATAATGTCGGACTTTTTTTGCCGTCCTATGGTTGAAGCTCAGTGATTGGATGTTTTAGCCGCAATGCACGTTGGGATATGGTGTTTATGCGATATGAAATCCGAAAAACATTTACAAAAAAGAAAATAATACTTTAATCCGAGTGTTCTTGCTTTT